AGGACCCTCCCAACAAATAGACAGGGCCCTCCCAACAAGTAGATAGGACCCTCTCAAAGGCACATCGGACCCAACCCAAAGTAGGTAGTACCTTCCCGCAAGTAGATAGGACCTTCCCCAAAAGTAGATAAGACCCTCCCAAAGTAGGTAGGGCCCTCTCAGCAAGTAGATAGGGCCCTCCCAAAAGCAGACAGACCATGCCAAGAAGTGTATAGGACCCTCCCATCAAGTAGATAGGACCCTCCCAGAAGTAGATAGGACCCGCACCAAATCAGATAGGCCCCTCCCAAGAAGTATATAGGACCCCCCATCGCAAGTAGATAGGACCCTCCCAAAAGTACATGTGCCCCCCCAAACAAGTAGACAGGACCGCCCCCAAAGTAGATAAAACCCTTCCAAAAAGTAGATATGACCATCCCATTAGTAGATAGGACACTCCCAAAAGCACAAAAAATCCTCACCAAAGTAGGTAGGACCCTCCCAAAAAGTCAATAGGAGCCTCTCACAAGTAGGTAGGGCCTTCCCATCAAGTAGATATGACGCTTCGCGAATCATTCGTTTCTGGAAACCCCCATGCGTCGGCAACGCAAGCGACCAACAGCAATATGTGGACCTTATCAAAGCAAGCGTCATAAACATCTGTAGCCAGACAGCAGCGATATGGAGACACCCATCGGGGCCAATTTCTGGGAGGACGGGAGTTTCGAGCTCTGCCGACGAGCGGTCGCGAGCGAATGCCCACTTCAGCAGATGCCCTCCTGGGCAGCACCGACGTGGTCTCTGGCCACCAGCCGACGGCGACCTTCGACCAAGGCCGCGGCCTCGCCAGCGTTTGCTCCTCTGTGCCAAGCCTTCTCTGGACCAGCGTCGAGGGCCACCTTGCGTGGTGGTGGCGTTTTCAGGTCGACCTTGGGCGTGTGGTTGCCTCGTCGCCACGTGCGGACGTCGGCTCTGGTCTGGCGTTCCGTTTGGGGGGTTTTCGGTCGGGGGCCCCATCTTCTTGATTTCTGTATTCAAAGTTCGGCTTCGCCTGTCCGCCGTTGGCGTCGAAGCATGAAAGCGCAGCATAACCATAAGTACTTCATATGGTTGCGTGGCTTGGTGCTCTTTCGGTGTATTTGTTTCTGGGGAGCGGCACCGCCGTCGAGGTATCCTGGGATCCCTGGGGCTCTTGCCGACAGGAAAGTGGACGCTCATGCAAGGGTCCAGAGTACCGTACCGAACATTTTTTTTTTTTTAAAAAAACTAAAAATCAATGTTGACCTTGCCCGAGCGGCCGCGTGCCCCGAACCTCTGAACTTACCGGAGCGACCGTGGCCTTTGCAATCGATCGGGGTTGCAGTGGATCGTTCGGCAGACGCGCAGTTGTGGCGCGTTGGGCGTAGTAAGTAATTTCCCACACGGTCTCGCCTCAACACGCGGCCACGCCGCGTGATTCAATGGATGCGTCCGTGACCTTGCCTTCTTCTGAAGCCCTGGCATACCTCGAGGAGCATCTGGGATCCATGGCTGTGCGTTGTCTGTCCCGCGCTACCTACATGTACGATGAACGTGTCTGGTCCAGGCCAAACCCCGAAGCAACGACAGAGACCAACAGGGAAGGTCGTCGGCCCCATCGTCCCTCCGTCGTCGCCGCTTTGGTTCAGGGACTGAGTTGCAGTCCTCAATTCATCCTGTTCTGGCCATTGCACTTCACTTGCGCGTGGCTGGCAGGGCGATGGCGTCCCGCAAGCGTGCTCCGAGAGGCGATGGTCCTGCTGACGAAGAGCCCGTGCCCAAGAAGGCCGCCCGCAGTGGTGGGCATGGTCGCGGGCGTGGAAGGAAAGCCAGGGAGGCTGCTGATGCAGGCGGTGCCGACCAGGACATCGGCGGCCTCTTCCACCTCCCAGGCGGCTCGGCCCCCCCGACCATCGGTGAGATGCGAAACCCTGACCTGGGCGATGCCTTGCGCAAGCCTGGTGCGCCGTGCACGTGCCAGAGGTGCAAGGCTAAGTCTGTGCCCGAGACGGTGCCCCTCTCGGTCAATGCGTGCGACCAGTGCTATTCCCCTATGCCGCACTTTCACGCCCTGGGCGTGAGCTTCGTCCAGGTTTGCGGCCAGTGCAGCGCTGACAAAGAGTTCGACGAGACCTTCGAGAAGCTGATCAAGGTGGCTGACACGGACCCCGACGAGAGGTCTTTCCCGACGCAGAGCATCATTGCGCACAAGAGGTTGGGCTACACAGTCATTGCGAACTTCACTGCCAAGAAGGAGAGCGACATGATGTCCACCGACACGAAGGGCCTGGACCTCGAGGCTCTGGGCGAGAAGACGGGCACCATCCCGAGTCCGTTCACTGGGGGGCAGATGAACGACATGGTCATCACTAAAGACGACAGCGGGCCCTTCTTGCAGGTTAAGATGTGGTGCAAGGTGGAGCTGGAAGACCAGATCGTCAACATGAGTCCTCAGAAGCGGGTGGCGGCAAATCAGCCTGCGACGATGTTCGACAAAGTCCGCAAGCTCCTCACCGAGCCCCTGCCCGTGAGCCTTCGCGGGAACAAGTTCCCCCCGACCCTGGAGTTCTTGAAGAAGAAGGCCCTGGGTATGACTGCCCCTGGAGACGGCGGTGTGGGCGCCAAAGGCAGCGGGCAGCCGCGCGGAGATCAAGATGGTGTCTCTGCAGAGCCTCCTGCTGGTAGCCGTGGACTCTTGGAGGCCGATGCCGCGTCTGGCCAAGGCGCGGCCTCGCCTGCTGCGACGGGCGCGCGGGCCCCCGACGCAGGTGCAGGCTCTGTGCATCCTGACGACGCCGCCGCAGAAGCTCCTCCGTTACTGGGCATGCACGCGGGATCGCCTGAGCTTCTGAGGCAGGCGCCAGGGGGGGCGAGGTCAGGAGGATCGATGACTGAGTTGTACCAGAGCCCCTGCGACACCAAGAGCGTGGTGAGCGATGGCGCCGCGACCACAGCGGGCGGCAACAAGAGGTATAAGCGGAACCTCACGGACCAGGAGAAGGCGATCGACCTCATCAACCGATTGGATGCTGGCCAGGTTCTCCAGGGTAAGTACAACGGCCCCGACGTCTATGCAGCAACGCGTTTCGAGGACTCGGCGAAGGTCGACTCTTGCATCTCGAACGTTCGGCGCGCCAGGCTCAAGTACGAGCAAGCATGCAAGATTGTGAACCCAGGATCCGTGGAAAAGGGCGTCTTGTTCAAGACCCTGGGTGAGCTCAAGAAGACGGGGATGGTATTCCCGCCAGCCTACGCGGTGAAGCTGGTCCAACTACGAGTCAAGAGCGCCAGCGTCACGGATGACATCGCTGATGCGATCATGCCTTTCAGCATTGATGGCCTAGAGGATTTCGCTGACGATTTGGATGGCGACGGCGGCGGCTCCAACTTCGATTGCCTGAACCCTCGCCTGCGGGATATCCCTACACCTGAGCCAGCTGCCTTCGTCGCCAGGTTTCGGGCGGTGGCCTCGGAGTACGTCGTGATGCCCTTGGTCAAGCAAGGCCAGTCGGGGAGGTATCTCAATGCGAGGTTAGTCGACGATATGGAACACACCTTGGAAGACGCGACCGTCGACAAGTATGCAGGCACGCCACAGGATTACGACATTCTCAAGAACTGTGCCCTGGAGTTGATTACCATCCTGCGCCTTCTGGGGTCACTTGACGCGCCAGGGGTCGACAAGCTTGTGAACTTGGACAGCCTGATTGTGAAGAAGTTCTTGGATGGGAGTTTGGACAAGTGCTGGCAGACCGCCAAGCAGGACATCGAGGACAGCAAGTTCTGGGCTCCAGCGCTGGCACTTTTTATGAGACACAGGGCGGACGAGTTCGACCTCGCTCCCAAGGTTGTCCACCTGATGAAAACGCTTGATGACATTCCGAGTGGGGACAAGCAGGAGTTCTTCAAGGGCAACGTGGCTGAGTTGACACGCATTGCGAAGCTGTGCAGGCCGACCGCTTGCGACGTGGCGTGGGCCAAGCTGCTGGATACCATAAACACGTGGCTCCGTACCCGCATCGCCGTCGAGGAGCTCGAAGTTAAGGAGATGGGCGACGTCGACCGCTTCATCGAGGAGCTGTGCAACTCGACTAGCTTTGCGGAGTGCTCGAGTCTGAAAGAAAGGGTCGACGTGCTGCGCAGCATCTCCTTGGCAAAATACGAAGACATGAAGCAGGTCGACGGTTCCAAGCAAGCTGTGCTGGCTTTGCGGAGGTTCGCCTCTGCCCCGACCGTCGATAACACGAACGCTCTCAAGAAGACGATCTACCAGAGGCAGTTCCACTTCACCGACGCGGACCACATCGAGACAGTTCGCCATGCCATGGTAACGGTGAACACGGCTGCCATGGCGAGCATTAGCAAGTACTCAGAACAGGTCTCGGTCTCTCCCGGGTGGGCCATGGACATCAAGCTTCACAAGGAGCAGCTCGCCCTCATGAGCACCAGGGTCAAGACGTTCGTCGCCGACGAAGGGTGGCCAGACACATACAATACGGTGTTGGCGGACCTCCTCTCCGACAAGCTGAACACGATCGCGATGGCCATCGATCTCCTCGCAGAGGGCGAGACCGCGGAGCAGCAGGTAGTCAGCGACAACGGCTTCGATGCATTCCAGGCCTTGCACGCGGTGTATCTGGAGAGCGGCCGCGAGCGCTGGAAGGAGAAACTGACGCTCGACGGTTCCGCTTCTTGGTCCGACGTCGGGGTCCAGACGAAGTACGCCGAGTTCTTCCTCATGGAGTCGACGCCCGCAGACCTCTTCGCCACCATCGGGGAGATGCTGGAGGACTTCAAGCGCGCGGGGATGGCCGAGGTGACGGCGCAGCTCGGCAAGATGGCGGACTCCGTGGACGCTCAGAAAGGATCGGGGGAGGCAGCGAATGTGCAATAACGGATGTGTTCCTCGTCGCCACCTTCATCCAGCTCAAGCTTTGGGCTGGATGGGGAAGGCGGGAGGGCTGCATTGGTTATGTGTATAGTCGCCCCCCCCATCAGGAGGCATGACCGACGGCGCGAACTACAAGGGTGACCCAGCGTCGTTCGGGGAGCTGACCTGGGAGCAGATCCTCGAGAAGGCCGAGGGGGCCGTGTTCTCCGTCGCGCAGAGGGGTACGAGCAAGAGGTTGACGTCGCTGCGCACGAAGGCCATCGACAGCGTCAACGAGTACAAGAAGGAGGCACAGAAGCTGTTCGTCGATCTAGGCGCCGACGAGTTCTTCACTGCAGCGGTGCAGAGGATCGAGGAGGGCGCCCGCTGCATCGACACGACCCTCAGCGAGTGCAAGATCATGCACAACATCCACCGCGACAACAAGACGGGCCTTGCGCAGAGGCAGGCGCGCGTCGACGAGGAGCTGACCAAGGCGAGCGGCACGCTGGCCGAGGGCGCCGTGAAGCTCGAGCTCCACGAGGTCATCAAGGCCAAGGCGCTGGAGTTCATGCGCGCGTGAGCTCCCAGCCAGGAGTTCATCATTGCAGGTGTTATAAGTTGGTTTCAGGCTGTCGTGGGAGTGCGGCCGATGACTTTTCACGCGTCGGCGTGAAACTTAACACGTTGGTGCCCATGGTCGGCAACCCACCATGAGGGCACAGGTCGGGAAACATGATATACCTTACCATAGGTCATCATCATCGCCATCGCCACGTACATCACCAGCATAGCCACTACCACCACCATCCCAGTCACTAGCATCACCATCGCCATCATCATCAGTTTTACCATCACCACCACCAACATCACCATGATAGTCACCATCATCACCATCACCGCCATGATCACCATCCACATCATCACCATCATCGTCACCATCATCACCGTTAGCATCATCCAAGACACCATCAACATCATAATCACAATCATCACCGTCATAGTCACCATCATCACCGTCACCATCATAAGTGCCATCATAAGTATGCTGCTATACACCCTCCCGTCCATTTTCCGTGTGTCTGGGTCGTAACACTTGATGCTAGCTGTTCCTTTCACGCCTGATGCTAGTATAGTCACTTGCATCATCCTCGTCACCATCACCACCGTCCTTGCACCAATGATGCTGCTATTATACACCCTCCCGTCCAGTTTCCCTCCTCGTAAGTCCATGTTCCCATTTCGCGCATTCCGACCGATGCGGGACGATCCTCAGGGATGATAAAGGGGCGTTTCGATTTATTGGGGGCACGCCTTGAAACAACGCGCGGGGGCAATAACAGAAATCATGCATATGTGGAGTTCGTCGAGTTTTGTACCCCGCGGGTTTCGTCGGGGCTGTGGGGAGGCAGGAATGTCGATCAACGCTCCCGCGAAACAAATCAGGCCACCGAGGTGTTGATCTTGTGTGCCACCCTCGTGGGAGGAACCTTTGGCTGGGCGACCTTTGGGCCCACCAGGGGCTCTCAGAGCCACCAGCGGGCGACCATCTCAAAACCATCTCTGGTGGATCCTGGCTTTGCTAGGATCCCGTGCTTCTAAGGAGGAGGAGGGAGGAGGAGGATGAGGAGGAGGAGGAGGAGGATGAGGAGGAGGAGGAGGAGGAGGAGGAGGAGTAGGAATGAGGAGGAGCAGGAGGAGGAGGAGGAGGAGGAGTTGCCCCGCGCCCTGCTCTATCATCCTGCCCAAAATCCGTATCTGCACATCGTGTCGAAGACATTCCTCCATATGGTCAGGCCAGGAGTTGTTAGTTCGGTTCGTGTGCTCAGTTGGGCTGCTGCTGCAACGCTGCCTGTAGAGCCGCAAGCTTGTGCTGGCAGTTTGCAGGCCGGGTCGTTACGAACCACTTATTGATGCAGACGTCAGTATCGATGCCGACGGGCATGCAATTGCCCGTTGCCTCGCCCAGCCCGTCAACACACATCCTTCGCGCTGCCGCGTAGCATGCCGACGCCGATGATGTGTATATATACCTATGTGCATATATATAGAGAGAGAGAGGTGAGAGAGAGAGAGAGTGCGCGCCGTCGTCGGTGATGCCGCAGGTCGGTGTGTCCGACGCCGTGATGATATCACCGAGTCAGTGGTATTGGGGGTCCTGGGGGTCTGGGGGGTGTTGCTGGTGATGGCCCCGTGTCGATGCCCGCCTCGCTCGGGGAGGCCGAGCGTGAGGCCCGCGGTGCTGGTAGTCTGCCGTCGCGCAACCTCCGCAGCGGACGCGTCGTCGCGGGGCAGCTCGGCGCAGCCGTGAAGGTCGGAGCGATTGGTTTGCCAGGTCTTGTCGGGCCACGGCGTTGCACTTAAGTCGGGCGTGTCACTCTACAGAGTGACTATTCCAAAATAGTTAGAAAATACCCCAGTGAGACCCTACCTAGAAGTTGGAGCCCCTAGGAAAGCAGCATTGGCTGCTATGCTATGCTATGCCGTGCTATGCTGCGCTATGCTATGCTATGTTATGATATGCTGCGCTATGCTATGCTATGCTATGCGATGCTAAGCTATGCTAAGCTGTGCCATGTCATGCTGCGCTGTGCTATACTAAGCTATACTATGCTATGCTATGCTATGGTAAACTGCGCTATGCTATGTTATGCTATGCATTGCGATGCTATGCTATGCTATGAAATGTGATGCGATGATGCGCTATACTGTAATATGCGTTGCTATGCTTGGCGATGTTATGATATGACATGCTATGTTAATGCAGCGCTGCGCTATGCTACGCTAAGCTAAGCTAACCCTCTAGGCAGAGCCTAGGTAGGGAATGTCACTCATGCTAATGCTTTGCTTTGCTTTGTGTTGCTTGTGATTTGCTTTGCTGTCGCTGCGGTTGCTGTGCCTTTGCTTTGCTGCTATGCTCTGCTATGCTATGCTAGGCTCTGCTATGCTGCGCTGTGCTATGCTGTGCTGTGCTTCGCTATGCTATGCTATGCTATGCTATGCTATGCTATGCTATGCTGCGCTATGCTTTGATATGCTGTGCTGCGCTATGGTATGCTACGCTATGCTATGCTGTGCTCTGCTATGCTAAAGCTCAGCGGAGCTAATATGAAGGTAAGTTAAGCTAAGATAACCTGAGGCAAGATGCAGCTAAGATGAACTAAGATGAACTAAGCTAAGCTAAGATGAGATAAGCAACGCTAAGCTAAGGGGACGTAACTGGGGGAACCGCGGGGCGGATGCCGGGGGAACCGCCTGGGGCGAGCCCCACTGCCCGGCCCCTTTAAGCCAACAGAGTAAGAACCCTTCTAGGCAGAGCCCAGGTAGGGAATATTCTCGGGAAGATGTGTTGAGCGTTCAGCGGTTGTTTGTGATTATGTTCGATGTTTCGCCCAAAATGCTGGAGTATTTCCTTGGGCTATTTTGGAGCATGTTTGGAGTATTTGGGGTATTCTGAGTTTCGTTTGGCTATTTTAGAATAGTTTGACTATTTCTTATCTTTCGCCCAAGATCCGCCTGTAGGGGGACACGCCCGACCTAACGTTACAGTCGCCATGAAAAAAGAAGTGGTTCCGAGGTATTTCGCCGTTGTCGACATTTCGCAGAGCCGTCCCCCCTTGGACCCAGGGCCGCCCACCACGCATCTTGCAAGATTGCCCTGGCGAGAGACCCAGCCATGTGCGTAAGTCGGGCGTGTCCCTTTACAGGAGGAGTGCCCAACAATTGTTAAACAAAAACAGTCTGGGGACGATTGTTTGACTATGTTTGAGCATGTCTTGTTCTTTTTGACTATGTTTAACTTTTCGTCCACAATCCGCCTGCAGGCGGACACGCCCGACTTAACCATATGCAGATTCTCCAGGCTTGCACCACATCCGCCGGCCCCTTTTTTTATTGTTGTCGTTGTTGCTTCGGGCCACGTGTCGCGCGGTGTCGGGCCTGGGCTTTCTACGGCGGCAACGGCGACTGCAGTCACGCACGGGCGAAAGACCCAGCCATGCGCAGATTTGAGTAGCGCAAGGGTGATTATAAGGAGGGGGCGATCGAGATGATCGGGGCGCGGATGAAAAGGACGTCGACGAATAATAGCACGGGGGTCAGGGATGAGAAGTGAGGCCGAAACGATGGGGCTCCATATGGGGCCACGGAATGTGTGAGGGGCGTGGCAAAACGGACCCGACAGCTCGCGAACACCGCCACTGGGGCCTTCGGTGGAGATTCCTGTGGGGCTTCGGAAAGTGTGAGGGATATGCTGACATTGGCGTGACAAGATGCGAACATCGCCGCGGAGGCCTTTGGAGGGGGCTTCATATGGAGCCACGAAGCATGTGACGGGTGTGCCGACAGGGGCGGGATGGCACCATGCGAACACTGTCACTGAGGCCTTCGGTGGAGTAACCTGTGGGGGCTCGATGCGCGAGGGGTGTGTGATGACATGGGCGCGGCAACATGCGAACACCGCCACTGGGGCCTTAGGTAGTAGAGCTCCTTGTGGGGCCACGCAACGTATGCGGGGTGTCCGTACCACAATGGGCGTGGCAGCATTCGAACATCGCTTTTATGGTTTTCGGTGAAGCTTTCTATGGGGCCACGGGATGTGTGAGGGATGTGCAAAAATGGGCGCGGCCGCATTCGAACACCGACATTGGGGCTTTCGGTGGAGCTTCCTATAGGGACACGAAACTTGTGAGAGGTGTGCCAGACTGGGCGCGGCAGCATGCGACTACCGCCACTGGGGTGCTCGGTGGAGGGTGGAGCTCCCTGCGGGTTCACAGATAGAGGGATGCGCCGAATTGGTGCGGTGGTTGCGGACTTTGCTACTGGGGCCTTCGGTGGAGCCCCCGACGGGGCTACTCGGTGTGTGTGTGTGTGTGTATGTGTGTGTCTGTGCGTGTGTGTGTCTGTGCGTGTGTGTGTGTGTGTGTGTGTGTGTGTGTGTTTGTGTGTGAGGAGTGTGCCAGAATGTGCGGGGTGGCGCCATTCGAACCGTGCCATTGGAGCCATCGGCGGAGGTCCAAAGAGGGGCCACGAAGCGAATGAGGAGTGTGCCCTTGGGGCTGTGGCGCCATGTGGGCCCTGCCACCGGGGCCTTCGGTGGAGGTTTCATTTGGGCCCACGATACCTGTGAGGGGTGTGCCAGCATGGGCGGGGTGGCGCCATGCGGACCTTGCCAGTGGGGCCTTCGGTGGAGCTCCCTACGTGCTCACGAAACGCGTGACGCAACGCGAACCCTGCCGTCGGGCCCCTGGTGGAGCTCCTCATGAAGCTATATTGTAGATCAGGAGCGAAAGAAGGACGTACACGTACATGAATCCACGCTGGTTTCGTGATTACGCATTGCCCGAATGTTCGTATCACGCGGCCAGTCTCGCGGATCGAGGGTCAACGTTCATGTACATAGTTGGGCGCGTACGTCCTTTCCGGGCTCCCTAATAGAACGTGTGAGGGGTGTGCCGACATGTGCGGAGTGGTGACAGGCTGACCTTGCCACTGAGGCCCTCGGTGGAGCTCCCTATGGGGCCACGTGTGAGGTGTGTAACAGAGCAGAGACACGCGGAGAGCAGAGGCAAGAAGAAGACGGGGAGGACAGAGGAACAGCGGGAGAAGGTGGATGGGACGTTTGGGGGAGGGATGCACGAGAGGAGCGACATGGGGCGTTGTGGATTCAAAACGTGGACCCGGCACTACATGATGATAGGGATAACCATGCTATTTTGAGCACCTCCAGGTCCAGGACCCGTTTCCCTCAATATTATTTCTCTTAATGCTAAGTGCAGGCATTGCTGCAGCACGTCCAGCTTGTCACTGGTGTACGATCACGAGGGCGCGACTTGGATGTGAGCGCCGTTACTAACGGGGTCGACGGCCTCAGCCAGCTACCGCCTCTGCCAGCACTCCGCAGGCAGATGTTGGCTCATGGTGAGACGCATTGCTGCTGTGGATCGGTTGCTGCCTTTTTGGGGCTGGGATCGACACGGGCTCGGTGGCCGACGGCTCTGGTGGGCTTTGACTTGCGATTGGGTCTTTCTGTGGTCGGCCTGCCCTGGGCTATGGAGTATGTGGGCTTGCGGCCAGCAGCTGCTCCTTCTAGCTTGCCTCAAGTCAGGCATTTCCCTCTACAGGAGGAATGCTCAAAAATAGTCAACACATAGTCTGGGGACGATTGTTTTAACATATGATTGTTGACCATGTTTGATTGTTTGGTTATTATTTGACATGTTCTATTGGTCCTCCAAAATCTGCCTGTAGGATGACATGCCCGACCTAAAGCTTGCCATTGGCGGGCAACTGGCCGCCGCTGGTCCTATCGGGGCTGGCCGCTCCTTGCGACAGCCTCCGCTTGGGCACTGCTGCCTGCGTCTGACCGCTGCCCATCCCAGCGCACGGTCGACCACCGCTCTTCCCGGCCTCGGGCCCAGCCCTCTGGTGTCACCTTGCTGTTGCGCAGGCTGGTCAGCTTGTCGAAATATTGGCTGCACGAGCGGACGAGGGCGTCGGCCGAGGACTGGCGCTGGGCTCCGAAGCGGCCGCAAGCCAGGGCACGTACACAAGCATTCGGCTGTGCCTTCTTTGTTTTTCCCGTCGTTGCCCTCCGCTTCATCGTCACGCCCTTCCCCCTTTCCGTCCTCCTGCACTCCCCTATCTCTCTCCTTCCCTGGTCCCCCCTCTCTCCCTTCCCTCCTCCGTCTCCTCTTCCTCCTACTCGTCCTCCTCCTCTTCCTCGCTCCTCCTCCTCCTCGCTCCTCGCTCCTCGCTCCTCCTCCTCCTTCATGTGACACCCCCCCCGGAGAAGACACATAACCATACTACCAATGAGATGGCGGCTCGGGCTGCTCTCAGAGACCTCAGACTGGATCGGCCACAGGCGGGGGTCGAGGGTGGCTGGCTTGGACCCGCTCCCCTTCCTACGCTGGGCTCCTTCCTTCGACCACGAACAACCCAGACCCCCGACGTCATGATTTTTTCATGACGCGACCCTCAGAGGTCCGGACCCATTCCCCAGGACCAGTTCTTCATCCTGGCTCGTTCTTGACAGTCCGGAGGCCCGGTAAGGGCCCCCAGAGGCCGAAAATGGCGAAGAACCTCCCGTCGTGATTTTTTCATGACCCGAGAGGGTCTGGGAAGAAATCTCACCCTTCCGCTCTGCAGGATCACCGATGGGCCCCGTCCCTACCGCCGATTGGGCGACGGACGGACGCGTGTTCTGCCTGGGGGCCGCGCCAGGCCGCCCCCGGGTGCTGCTCCGTCCGTGTCTCTGCGCACGGGGGACTCCGACTGTCGCCACCCACCGAACTAGCCCATCTCAACCCGAAGGCCCCGATCTGCCCTCCATTTCCAGTGTGTGGGGGTGTCGGTGTATATATATATATATGTATATATATATATATATATATATATATGTGTGTGTGTGTTTGTGTGTGTTGTTTGCAGAGAACCCCCCCAAAAAAAGACGGCCCGTCCCCCCCCAAGCCGAAATTGGGGCCTTCGGGTTGGGTTGGACGGGTTCGGGATGCACACGGCGACGTTGCCAGAGCGCTTTTTTTGCTGTCGCGGCGGAGTCGACCGCGCGGTGCAGCCGGAGCTTCCAATCAACCCGTATAACAAGGGCGTGCGATGAGGATGCAAGGGCCTTGGAAGGCCATTTCGAAGCTCTGCGAGCGGGACGCGGCCAACGAAAGTGGCCAAGGATGGACCGCGGAGGCAATGATGCCAGGGTACCCTTGGGAAGGTTGCCCATCCTTACTAGATGGGTTGACTGTAAGCGGGACACGGAGAGGCCCGCAGACGGGTGAACGGCGATGTAGGTAACGGCGATGTGCGATGTAGGTTTCGGTATTGCGGGAACGCGTGGCTCGTGCTTTCCTACAATTCGCTGTGTCGTGTTCGCTCGATCCATTCGCAGACTTAAAATGTAGGAATGTGTGGCTTGTGATTTCATACACTCGGGTTCCCAACATCACCGTTAAGCCACATCGCCTCGAACCCGGCCTTGATCAAGGGTTAAGTCGGGCCTGTCCCTGTACAGGAGGAATATTCAAAAATAGTCCAAGAATCATCAGGGGACGATGTTTGTTAAGTGTTTGGGAGCATGTCCAGGGTATTTCTCATTTTTCGTCGAAAATCCGCGTGTAGGAGGACATGCCCGACCTAACCCAAGGGGGGCGAAGGGCACGCTGAGAAGACGGCCGCAGAAGGGGGGTCGGGAGGAAGGGGGGCGGCGCCCTCAGCACGTGCAGATGGTTAGGCCATCGGCGGGGTGTGCGGCGTCCTCGGGCTCCGTGCAGGAGCCGTGCGAGCTGGAGTCGGCGACACCTCCGGGCGTTTGCGTCTGCGCTGGTCGGCCGAGCTGGCTCGTCGCGAAGCGAGTTGGAGCCGGCACTGCTGTTGTAACGCGGCGTTGCATCTTCGGGGGGCCTCGCCCGTCCCCAAAAATCTCGTCTTTTTGTTGCGCCTGGCGCGGGCTCGAGGCGGACTCGACGCGGACTTGGCGTGCATCCGATGCGGATCCGACACGGATGCGACAAGGATCCCACGGATTCGACGCGGATTGGGCCGCGACGGGGCAGACAAGGTGCCCCGAGGATGCAAGATAGGCAACGGCATTGTTGTACAGGGGAAGCCCATGCCAAGAAACACCTTGCTTGCCTCCATGGTGCTCTGGGTTTCTTGGGCTTCGATGGTTTTGATATGGAGAGCGTGGCGTTCCCACACAACAGGAAACGGACGTCCCTGGGTTTCGGGGTTGGGTTTCTTATGGGAGGTTTCTTGCGGTCGAGCTCCTGCTGTAACACCGTGGTGCTCATTCGGAGCGGTTCGCCCTCGCATGCCCACCCGCACACAGTGGCACGACCGCAGGAGGCTCGAAGATCGTGCCGTCCGGCGTCGGAGAAAACAGTCAAGTTAGCCTACTACACGCAGTTGCGCAAGCAGAGCACATGTCTGGCTAGAAGCCGAAGTGATGCAGCAAGACCCGCACGACAAAGCAGCATGTGAGCATCTGTAGTAAGTCCTCGCGGACATCCTTGGGACAAGCGGCGCTGCAATTGAATTCCGATGCTTGCGCGGAGCGCCCCTGGAAGGATGGACTGATATTTGCGGGGCGCTGCTGATAATAATCATGCAGAATGTGTTCGGCCGTTCAGAGTGCACGGTTCAATGGACGGGTGTGCCGACCACGAAACGTCGCGTGGGCAAGCTACAGTTGGAGGGATGTGCTGGGGATGTCCGCATTCAGCCATTTCGGTTCAAAGCGTCACGTACCGCACCAGCTGGAAGTGCGCATGCGGAGATGGCGAAGAGACCGCCGGCGGGCCATGCTAGGGCGGCGGCCGAGCCATCCGACCAACGCACGCCCACGCAGATTCGCAACGCGCGGAAGCGCGAAAAGTTGAAACGCGAGAAGGGCCAGAAGCAGAGGCGGGGGGGTGGCGCCAAGTATATACCAGCACCGACCCTGGCCATGCCCGTCGTGCGCCCCGTACCAGTGTGTATGTATGCCGTCCCGGCCAGGCTAGATGACTAGGTGGGCACATGCTCTGATCCCGGGCCTAGGATGAGCCAGGACAGGATCGGTGCAGTTACCGGGGGCGGCCAACGTGGAGGTGATGACTACGGGGGGGTGGATATCATGTCGTGGACCATGATATTTTCTCAGATTTCGTGGCGCCTGTTCTTATTTCGTTACGCCCCTGGCCACCCCCTTTGGCCGCGCACATGCCGCCGGCCATGATTTGCGCCCCCCCTCTTGGACGCCCCCCTCTTGGCCGCCCCCGAAGGTGGGTGCACAGCCAACGTCCCGACTCGATTCCCAGACCTCTTTTGGGGCGCGGAATGGCCAGGATATCGAGGCGGATACAGCCGTGGCGCCGAAGGGGGGACGCACGAAGGCAGCAGAACGAAGAAGGAAAAGGGCGGAGAAGGAAGGAGGAGGAGGAGGAAGAGGAGGAGTAGGTTGAGGAGGAGGAGGAGGAGGTAGTTGGCACCACCCCGAGGCAGCAGGACCCGTCCCAGCTGCACATCGCGGCACCGCTGCGGGCCCCCGTGGTCTGCCAGGCGGGCCAGTTCTTCCGCGGATTCGTTGGCGGGCCCGGCAAGTTCGCACTGCACCTGGGCGCGGTGGAGGGCTGGCGCACGGATGCCAAGCTGGCGGTGCGCGCGGGCCCGTCGGGGCCCCGCATCGGCCTGTTCGCGCCCGGCACGCACGAGGCGCCTGGTGCCGATGTGTTGCACGGTTCTTATTCGCCTTATTTCCCCCTTCCTCGCCCCTGCTCCTCGCCCTCCCTCCGCATTGTTGTCCTTCCCGTTCCTCTCCTCCTCCTCCTCCTCCTTCTCCTCCTCCTCCTCCTCCTTGTCCTCCTCGGTCCTCCTCCTCATACTCTTCTTTCTCCTCCTCCTCCTCCTCTTCCTCCTCGCCCTCATCCTTACTTCCTTTCCTTAAAACTAGTTTCTCCCTGTCGCACCCCGAGGCTAGTTTTTAGGGCGGCCCAGGCGTTTCGCCTGAGACTTCCTCACCATTTATGAGTATAAAGCCGAAGAATTGGCAACAGCTTCGCAGATGGAGGTCGGGTCGTTTTCAAAATGTGGCTCTCGCGTCAGCGCCGCGCACATTCGCTTTCAACGTTTGCAAGAGCTTCACGGATTGAGGGCGAGGGGTTATCAAAATTTGGCTCTCGCGTTAGCGCTGCGCACATTCGTTTCAAACATTTGCAATAATTTCACGGATTCAGGGCGGGTCGTTTTCAAAATGTGGTTCTCGTTTTAGCGCGGCGCACATACCATTTGCAAGCAATAGTTTCACGGATTAAGGGCGAGTGGTTTTCAAAATGTGGTTCTAGCTTTAGCGCGGCGCACATTCGCTTTAGACGTTTGCAACCGCTTCACGGATTGAGGGCGGTTCCTTTTCAGAGTGTGGTTCTCGTCTTAGCGCCGCGCACATTCGCTTACACCATTTTCAAGAGCTTCACGGATGCCCAACATCAACTTACCAGACATTGTGCGTTGGAAGTCTGCAGGATTTTGCGGGTGCAACAGTTACGTGTTTTATCTGCGTTGCAGTCCCAGGAATGGCGGTCTGGCGCGAATCAGGACCGTCAAGACGCAACAGTCAGGTTGATCCGTGGCGTTGGAATACCGCGAACAATGTTTTGGCATGGTTCAGGGTCTTCAGGCGGGTGCCTTCCAACGAGGCAGCTCCATCAATGGACATCAACCAGTGTAGGGGCCTACGCAGGGAGAGTTTGGAGGGAGGGTTTACCCTAACATCGTTGATGACTCTTGGGTTTACACTTGTCATCTTCCTCCTCCTCCTCCTCTTTCTCCGCCTCCTCTTCATTGCTGAAGAGCGAATACCCGAGCCTCAAAGCAGCTCGAGAACAGTAGGCTGGGCACATGTATGTCGGCGTGGGAGAATGTCAAACGACGGGTGTGTCTTCCGGGTGCCTCTGATCCTACCGGGCATCACGTTCTTGATCCCAAACAAGTCTGCGAGCTTGTGGGTCGACGCTAGCATCATGTTGTTTGATTTCGAGAGAGCCGTCCCGACCCTTAACCATGACCATGGTTTTTGGATATTAGGTCTACCCCGTGTTGTTCAGCATTCTCAGCGTCGTATTCGCAGTGTGTACACGGATGTCTATATCACTGTCTCTTCCAGAGGAGCTCGAGGCGGGAGGCTTTGTCTGAGGAAAGGAATCAAGCCAGGATGTACTTTGTCTGGTAGCATATTCACTCTCGAGGTCGATCCTTCGACTGCTTGCTGCCCGGTTACCACCTCTTGTATCATTTTGTGGTGTTTTTGCTGATGGTTTTGGAATGGGGGACGCCAGTGTGTTCGCCGCGCTTGCTATTGTTGCGCCTGTCCTTATATCTTGGTCTGGAGCAGCGGGGCTGAATCTTAACATTGCGAAGATTGTCATCGTCGGAGTCCATGGTGCTCCTCCCGAGCGAGTGCATCAGCGACTGCTTAACTACGTATTCCAGCCTTGCTCGTTGATCGAAGCGGATGGGCATCTGAGTAGTTGGCTCGCTCCTGCTGTGAAACGCCTGAGCCGAGCCTGCGCTGTGAAGTCATTGAAGCTAGGCCTAGCCAGAAATAGTGTGCAATTCAATGATTTGGGATTCTCTGTATTCTCTCACGCCAGACAATATTTTAAGCCCTTTCAGGCCGCCATCCAGCTAGTAGATAGTGCCAGTCAGAACCTAACCATCGCCCCTCGCAGTGCAAACGCTACAGGCATGCTGACGGATTTGGAAAGTGTCAGTTTTCCCGAAGTTAGGGACTTCATTTGTGCCAGCAAGGCGGCCTTGTCTAGGTTTGCTGCCTCACTCGTGGAAGGTTTTAGTGGCGACGATGACTGTATCATCCTGTGGCGCTGCCGTTGGTGGCACAGCACTAATCTGTTCAGCCATCTGAATCAGAGCTTCCGCGAAGTATTCCCCATGTCTGCGGTGCTTGCAATGGGCGAGGTCCAGCTTCAGAACAAAACCGAGCTGGTGCTACGAGATGCGAGGGATCGTCGGGCCGCCCTGTGCTTGTGCAGGCGTTCCCGTCACCTCATGCCAAATCAAGCGACCAGCTGCTCATGGCCGTCCAGAGGATTGCCGGCAGTGTGCCTGCCTGTGTCGTCTCCAGTATTTTCAAAACCATCAGCAACGCGTGGACCACATCCGCCAGATTTCCAGGTAGAACAAGCAATTAACACTTCTGCAGGACTGCTCTCCGGCGGGACTCTCTGTGGCACATTCTCGAATGCCCAGGTGTTCGGTGCATGTATCATCCGTTTCCTAGGCTCTCCGCTCGCTTCATCCATGCCACTAGCGTCCAGCGCGCTGCGTTCCATCCCATCTTGCGTGCTTCCAGGTGTGAGCTCGTATTTGCGGCTGTTTCCTTGATTGTTCATATTGTGATGACAACGAGCTTTCATGTCGCTTGCCATGGCCAAGGCTTCTTTGAAGGCTAATCTAAGGAGGTGGCCTGCTCTCGAGTCGCAGCTGGGCGGCCAGTCGCGGGGGAGACTTCGGACGCTCTCTGCTGTCCTTTTTGCCATCTTGGCCGCTCTTCTTCTCGTGCTCTTGCCCGCCCTTCTTCTCTCTTTGGGTCGGTGCTCTCCTCTCCCCCTCCTCCTTGCCCCCCTCTGCTGACGAGCCCCCGTGGCCCAGGCAGGATTTGTTCCCAGGGCGACGAGCGCCCAAGGGCATGTCCCAGATTTGCCCCGACATTTGCCCCGAGGCGGTCGCCTCGGGGTGCCACGAAAGCTTGCTGCTGCGCATGGGCCGCATGGGGCCCTCCACGCGCCGGTCGTTGGAAGCCGGTACTTCGGATCTCCCAGATTCCAGTTTGCTTTGGGCGCCTTCTTACTTCAAGAGTCGAGCGTTTTTGTTCCACTCTCTTCCTTGTCACGGGGCGTGAGGAAGCCCAATCCATTTCCAACGCTTTCCCGTTTTATTGTTTTACCTACTTCTTCCGACCGACGGGCATCCATGAGAACGGCAAGACGGTGGCATGGCGTTGTTCGACAGCTTCACAGTTGCAGCATTGCTCATTTTTCAGGCACTGAATTTTCCACGGGCGCTCCCTGCGCACACGACCTCCCTCAATTCTGGCGACGGCCCGGTCGAGGTGGTGTGGACCCCCACACATCAATTCTAGCGTTAAGTCGGGCGTGTCCCTCTACAGGGGGGAATATTCACAAATAGTAAAACAAATGTCTGGAGACGATGTACAATTTTTTGACCAGTTTTGAATACGTTCGGGGTGTTTAGAAGTTGTCCTTCAAAATCTGCCTGTAAGGGGACAGGCCCGACTTAACCCTAGCGATTCTGTCCTCACGTTGCTCAAGCGCCACTTTCCCGACGGTAGCTATTTCGCCGTTTTGCCGACGAGCATTCTAGGGACGTCACGAGACGTTCCTCGGTGCTGGCCGCTTGAGGGCCAACGGGTCCCTGGCATTGTCAAGCAGGATTGCACAGCCCACCTCATGCGTGTCGGCGGCGAGGGAGGGGGGGAAATAAGAAGGAGAACGCCCTCTCAGAAGGCGGCGGGACTTCTGAGAAGCCCTCGCGCCTTCCGAGAGGTTTCTTGTTGCCTTTTCAGAGAAGGCTGGCTTGGAAAACTTCTCAGCAAGCCGGGGGGGCTTCCGAACCTTTTGAGAAGGCCATCACCTTCTCACTCCCCTCCTCGCTCGCCGCCAACCGTGGGCGGGCTGCCTAGGAGATGGTCGAGGCCATTGCTACTTCTCCCTCGCCCGCTGCTAGGCCCGAGCTGGGCCGCGATGGCAAGTGCAAACGGGACGAAGCGCTTCAGTCCAGCTCGCGTTGCTGCACTTGGTCTCAAGCAAGATGTCTATATCCATGTACACACACACACCTATATATATATATATATATATATATATATATATATATATATATATATATATATATATATATCCCTGGGGGCGAGGCCGGGGGCCCCAGGACAGGTGCCCCCACCCCCCATGGGGGGACCGGGGCTCATTTTCCCTGCGTTTTTACAGGGTTTCCGCGTCATGGGCCTCGGAGGCCGCCGCCTCCGACCTCCCATGGGAGGACGGGGCGGCCAGGGAGGTCCAAAATAGTCCAGGAGGGCCTCCAGAGGCCCCCAAGACGGCCCAAGCGGGCCCCGAGTCGCCGAAAGACCGCTCCAGGACGCCCAAGATAGGCCCCAGACGGCCCGAGAGGCCCCCCAAGGCACTCCACGACGCGTCAAGACGCCTCTCCAGGGCGCTTCCAGAGGCCGAAATCGTCAATTATACGAAGGTTTTCGGACCATTTTGGCCTTCCAGCCTTTTCGGCTGTCCGACGTTCCAGGACGGCTCAATAGGCTCCCAAGAGCGCCCCAAGACGGCCCAAGAGGGCTCCAAGACGGCCCCAGAGTCGCCCAAGACAGCCCAACAGAGCCCCAAGACGGCCCCAAGATGCGCCCAAGAGGGGGACCACGACTCCAAAATTCGACCCTCCCGCTTGAAGAGTGCCCCAGGAGGCCCCAAGGAGCCCCCAAGAGGCCCCAGGAGGCCCCCAAGAGGCACCCAGGAGGCCCAAACGAGGCCTAAAGAGGCCACAAAACAGCCCCGAGGAGGCCCCACAACGGTCCCAAAACGGCTACCGAGAAGCTGCGAAATTGCCTTCACGACGTCCCCGACAGGCCAACCACGAGATCCAAACCAACACCCATGAGGCCTCTGACCCACCACCCAGGGCACGGTGGCGGGAGCAGTGACAGCACTTGTGCACAGCATGTTCCGGCGGGAGCCTTCCGGAACACGCTGCAGGAGGAGGAGGAGGAAGATCAGGAGGAGAGAGAGTTGGAGTGGGAGGAGGAGGATGGGGACGAGGAGGAGGAAGAGGCCTCCCAGACAGCTCCAAGATAGCCGAAGAGGCTTCCAAGAGGGCCCTGGGCGGCCCACGAGGGTCCCAAGGCGGTGCCTGAGGCGCCCAAGACGTCCCGAGAGGGCCCCGAGACGGCCCCAATAGAGGCCCAAGAAGGAAAACACGAACCGAGAATCCGAGCTTTCTACCCCGAGAGGTTCTCGGGAAGTCCCAAGTGGCCCCCAATCGGATCCAAGAGGCCCCCAAGAAGCTCCCAAGAGGGCCGACGAGGTTCCAAGAGATCTCCCAAGGTGGCCCCAAGAGGCACAACTCATTGTTTTACGATTGGGCTTTGACGGGTTTTATTTTTTTCTGCCTTTTGGCATCCTGATGCTCCAAGACGGCCCAAGAGGCTTCCAATACCGCTCCCGTATAGAGGAAGAGGCCTCCAAGAAATCCCCAAGACGGCCCGCGAGGGCCCCAGACGGTGCTTGAGGCGCCCAAGACGGCCCGAGAAGGCCCCAAGAGCCCCAAGAGAGGCCCAAGAAGGGGAACGCGACTCAACAGCAGAGCGGTCCCCCCAAAAGGCCCACAGGAGGCCGCAAGAGGCCCCCAAGTGGTCCGACGAGGACCCCAAAAGCTTCCCGAGAGCCTAAAAGGCCTCTAGGAGACGTCGAAGAGGCTTTAAGATAGCCCAAGAGTGCCCTCGATGCGTCAAAACTGCTTCCAGGAGGCCCCCGGGAGGCTTCCAGATTGCCTCAATCTGGCCGCAGGTGGCCTCAAGTCGGGCTTCCACGCAGCCAAGACGGCCAATGAAAGCTTCAGATTGCAGAACCGCTGCCCCCAAGGGACCCTCAGACGCCCCCCCAAGAAGCACCCAAGAGGTGCCTCCAACAGCCAGTTGACGAAGCATGCGGAACACCCCAGAAGCTCCTCAGATGCCGTCGCGCGCCTGTGCTTGAGATCGTTGTCCAAGATCGTCCAGCGCCCCCCTGGCCTGGGCTAGAACCTGAGCGCGCGCGAAGCGCGCGCGATGGTTCTAGTGTGTGTGTGTGTATATATATATGTGTGTGTGTGTGGGGGGGAATAGATCCGTAATGGCTTCGCCGCCTGCCGCCGGCCCCCTCTCTCGGATAATGGGCTATGCAAGAGCTAAATCATGAGGCCTCGGCGCCGCCGTGAAGCAGCATCGGCAAGAGAAACTAAGATTCTGATGATATTGTTGAACTCAGTGTTGCATTTTGAACTTGCTCCGTATGCTGTGCACTGAGGTTTCCCACATAATTTCGGACATGTGGCAAATCCCATTGGTTTTTTGACCCTGACCCTGCTGATCTGCGTGAGGGGTGCCGCCGAATTTGAGAAATGTGGCAAATCCAATTGTTTTTTCGACCCTGACTCCGCCGATCTGCGTGAGTGGTGCCGCTGAATTTCAGAAATGTGGCAAATCTTTTTGGTTTTTCGACCCCGACCTCGCCGATCTGCGTAAGGGGTGCCGCGGAATTTCAGAAATGTGGCAAATGCCAATTGTTGTGTCCATCCTGATTCCGCCGATCTGCGTAAGGGGTGCCGCCGAATTTCAGAAATGTGTCAAATCACATGTTTTTTTGTACCCTGACCTCGCCGATCTGCGTGAGGGGCGCCTCCGAATTTCAGACATGTCGTAAATCCCATTGGTTTTTCGACCCTGACTCCGCCGATCTGCGTGAGGGGTGCCTCCGGATTTCAGAATTGTAGCAAATCCCATTGGTTTTTTGACCCTGACCCCACCGATCTGCGTGAGGAAGGCCACCGAATGTAAAAAAATCTGCAAATCCCAGTGTTTTTGTTCGACCCTGACTCCGCCGATCTGCATGAGGGGTGCCGCCGAATTTCAGAAATGTGGCGAATCCTATTGGTTTTTCCACCCTGACTCCGCCGATCTGCGTGAGGGGTGCCCCCGAATTTGAGAAATGTGGCAAATCCCACTGTTTTTTCGGCCCTGACTCCGCCGATGTGCGTGAGGGGTCTCAATTCCGACCCCCCCAGAAACTCTGAAACCCTTCCTAGGAGACGCTGACCAGGCTGATTTTCGGCTCCCTACCCTCGCGCGATCTACAACAAGGGACGGTAAGCAGCATGAAGCAATCTTGTAACTGTGGAAACTGGAAACTAGAACTGGTGCAGGGAACACCAAGCCCTCGTCCTACAGCCCGGTGGCCCCACAAGGGGGCCCACAAGGGGGCCGGCCGATTAAGACGGGATTCATCACCGGGCACTGCACTGATGGACTTTGTGACCTCTCGGAGAACCTTGGGAAATTATACATA